CTGCCGTTGATGGTAAATGTAAGCGTAGCTGCTTCATCGGTAGTCAGGCTGGCCTTATCCATTTTTGAATTAATGGTAAAGTTGCCCACAGCGCCTCCATAATCCGCCGGTGCATCTTTAGCTGGCAGGTCGGTTACAGTAACGGTGACCGGCTGGCTTTTCAGGTGAACGGGAATATCCTGGTAGGCCATGCTGCTGAACATATCATCATTAAAAAACGGATCGTTCATGCTGAGGCTGCCACCCATCATCTGGCGGAATGCCGGATCATCAAACATATCGGCAAATGGATTGCGCTGGCGCACTTGCTGTACTACGCGGGCCGTACCCTGAGCCTCCGCCGGATCAAGAATCAGCTTACCCGCCTGTTGCGGGAACAGGGCCGATTTTTTCAACACAAATACCTGGTACTTCTTGCCATCAAGTATTTCTTCCTGTGGTACCTGCTGTTTGGGCAGATCAAAATCCTGTGTCCAGAAGCCGTTCAGCGAAGGCAGCTTTGAAATGCCTACCTGCATGGGAATGCGGGAGTACAATTTATAAGTAGCAGTGGTCTGCTCACCTACGCGGATGCTGGGCTTATCAACGGTTACCTTGATAAATAAGTCTTTGCTAAGATCTGCTTTGGCCGTCGGCGCCGCTGCTTGTTGTTTGCCCTGGGGCTGTTGTTGTTGTTGCTGCTGTTGTTGGCGCATCAGTTGTTGCTGCTGCTGCCGGTAATGTTGTTGTGCCTGTAATTGCTGACGCATCAGTGCTGCAAACGGATCGTCATTCCAGGGATCATTAGGGTTATTGCCCTGTGCCTGCTGTTGCACCGGCGGATCCAGGCGGCCCGGCACTACCTGTATGTTTACCGGGTTCGATTGGAAGGAACGTCCTTCAGCATCTTTTGCAATACAAGGTTGTATCTGCAGGTTGCCGGTACGTAATGGCTGCAATATATAAGTAATAGTGATGCTGTTGCTTTGGGTAGCCCGGTTACCAACAATATTGATATTGCTGCTTTGGTGTTTGTAAGGGCCGCCCACCACCTGGAAGTCTTTAAACTTTCCCGGTCCCATGGTTTGCAGGTTTTCCGCATCACGGATGGTGTATGCCAGTTCTATTTGGTCTTCCAGACCCGCTTTACTGCGATTGGCACTGGCAGTAAATACCACATTTTGCGCGGCCGCATAAAATCCCTGCAACAGCAGCAATGCCGGCAGCGTAATATAACGGGTAAAAT